TAAAAAAAATATGATTTATTAAAAGCATCAGCAGAAAATATTATACTAAAAAAATTACTAATAAATAAAAAAGTATATATAATATCTTAAATAATTTTTTAGTTGTTATACAAAAATATTTTTCCTTTTAAAAAAATATTTTGTAGAGATCGGTTAATCAAATTACTAAAAAAAATAATAAAATATTTGTAAAAAACAACTTTTTTAAAAAATAAAGCCACAGTCATTTGTGAGCCATAGATAGGTTGAAGGGAAAAACTGGCGCTTATAATTTTTATTTTTGATAGATTTATTAAGTGCTACATCTATATAATATACATATAGAGCAATATAGAATTTAAATACTGCAATGTATTTATTGGTATTTACCATAATCGTTATACAAAATACCAGTTTAGCTACTTTTATAGGTATCAAATGACCAAAGAAAATAACTGAAAAAATATAGCTATTAAAACCCAAATTTTCTTCTTACATGTAATTATTAATAAATGTGATATAATTATAACAGCTATGATTATTTTTATTTCATAGGATTGATTACACCCTTTTAAATACAAAGCTTTAAATGGTGATTATTTTATTTCTTAATTTTTATTAATTATTATGTTTAACTAGATTGCAAGGTTATCAACCTTTTTTTATGAAATAATTTTATCGATAAATAAACACAAAATAAAAAATATTAAAATATATAAAAATATCTAAAAAAAATATTTTATAACAGTGTCAGGATCTGAATTAAGACTAAGAAAGGGAGATAAACTAATTGGTTGTGTATGTTTACTGTTCACATTAACCAGCTTAGCCTTTCATAATATGGCTAAGCTGAAACTATTTATAGAGTATTCTAGAAAATAAATAATAATAAATTACTATGGGGAATATTATTTTAAAAATAATAAATGTAAGGCTGAATCTAATAGGAGCATGAGAAACAGATTTTAAAATTTTATAAAAAATCAAAAAACCATCTGTGGCTGTTCAAAATATATAAACAATACTTTGGTATTACTTTTAGCAGATTTTAAAAAATTGCAAATTTTCAAGATTTTCCAAAAACAAATTAATGAAAATGTTCCTGAAAATCATGCAAAACTTTGAAAAAATTCATTTAGAAACTTTAAGAATTTTTGATTTTGTTGGCGCTTTGGTCAGTTTAATACTCAATTTTTAAAAATGAAATTTGTTAATTAAAGTTATCTACTATTAAATTAAAAAAAGATCTTTTATCTATTTATTTTTATGATTATCCCAGACTAGAAAAATATACTCTATTATAATTTTCTCTTATAATAACAAAATACTTATATACTAATAAAATAAATATACGAATAAATAAGTATTGACATTAATCAAACTTCTTTGGTGATGGATACTTTAACTAATTGCTAATCTATCTAGAGCTCTTTAATATTAACCCTTAATCTTCATTAAGTCATTGATTATTCAAGTTAAACTAATATTTAATTTTTTGATTATCTCGAATTTTGATACTCATTGGCTGATTTTGAAAGGCTCAAAATGTAATGGTTGCTAATTATAGCAAAATTTCTATTATAAAAATGCGCTCATCAGC